AGGCAGTCAGAGCTGTGTGTGTGTGTGTGTGTGTGTGTGTGTGTGTGTGTGTTCAGGCACAGTTAAAGCCATATTTGAGCGATGGAAAATCAGATCAATGTTTACTGTGATTCATGGTTGCATAATGACACATGTCTGGAATTTTCGAGAATTTTGAGCGATGTGTTATTGAAGACACTGAAATCATCATGAGAGAGGATGTTAAACAGCAGGTTCGAGGAGTTCAGCTTTGACTTGCCCTTTTTATTACAACCAGTTAGTGCCAATTTTGCTTGCAGCAGAGAGAGCAGTGATTGGCTGAAACAGAGGCTGCTTCTGATCTCTGTTGTTCTGCACACATAAAAGCGACGCTGACATGCTTCGTTAGTTTTCCTCGCGGTGACATGCTTGAGTCTGACAGTCACACACACACACACACACACACATCTCCGTCAGCCGTCTCACCAGCTCAGAGGCAGTGAAGGTGCGCTTCTCCTTCCTGAAGATGAGCAGGTCTCGCACTCCCAGCGCACTGAAGAAGTCTCTCCATCCGCTCGCGTCTCGGTCGGCCCTCAGATAGCAAGCGTCCAGCAGCACCCAGTCCACACCTACCAAAGAGACAACTGCTTATGAAACGGCTCCGTCGCATTGCATAACGCTCCGTGCTCATGCACATTTCATGCTTTTCTAAGTCCCTACAAAAGACTTCTAGTTCAGTGCTTCATTCCAAGGGTGAATCAATTATTTGGGACAATCACAGACTTAGAACTTTATTCCATTGCATATGCTGATATTACAGTAGGTGCACTTTTTGAATCAGAATATCACATCTAAATATGCAAAATCAGTCATCAGTTATTTCAAGAATTGGAGTTTGCAATATTATAACATTTAAATATTAAAATCCCATTGTTACAACTCTACACTATTTTGTTTACAGGGGTCCTATTATGCTCTTTTACAAAGTCTTGATTTTGTTTTGGGGGTGTACTAGAACAGGCTCTCATACTAGGTTGTTCGAAAAACACATTATTTTTCACATATTTTACATTATTACAACACCTCTCTCCCCAGTCGGGCATGAACGGCTCGAATAGTTCCTG